AGCCCCTATCCTAAAAGAAATCACTGTGCAGTTAAATACCTTGCTATTTGCCTTACCACTTTATCAGATAGAGCATCACTTTTGCTTTGTGCTTTAGAAGAATGACTGCAGAAGATTAACTTTCTTCTCATAGTGTTTTGACTAGCTACTATTTGGATACTTTACTTTTTAATCCTCTGCTTCCTGGTTGACAAAATTTGATATAAAATAAACATTCTTTTCTTAATGGAATTGAGAGTATCCAGGTTAAAATAATTGAAAGTGAAGTGGTCAGGATTTTTTCTGGACCAGAACTATGTTTACATTGTTTTATGTTTGTCAATTTCTTGTCTCCTCTATAGGGATTGAGGAGGCAATCCTACCTACTGGTTGTGTTGCTTTAATATAAGACCTTAGAGACAAAAGCCCTTTGTTTTAGGCTGGCCATTTTCCCACCTCTATGATTGCTACTAGATGTAATTCAAGTAGCCCTAACTATGAAAACATTTCCCAGTGAGAAACTGGGCCAAGATACTTTGTGATATTTAAGTCCATGTGGAAATAATCTAAAGCTGCCACTGTTACCCAGAAATTAATACTCTTTCATATTCTCTGCTGTTTCTTTAAAGCCTACATTTCTTTAAACCTAAAGCTACTTATTCTGATGGGTTATTTGATTGTCTGGGTTCAGGTGAGGGTTTAGGACCTTGGACTCAGAGAAGGGACACAGATTTATTCCCAACTCTGTCACAAAGTAGCATTTTTCTCTCAGTGGCCTCAGTTTTTCTCATCTTTACAGTAAAAAATCTAAGTAAATTTTCTCTGAGTTTTATTCCTGCATGAAAATTCTCAATTGAAGATGATTAAGAGAATGAAAACAGCAAAATTAAGAAATGCAAGGAAAGTGATACTGAGAATGACAAGTTTTTGTGAGGTGGCTGCAGGGTACATTTTTAACATTGTTTAAAAGTGAATCAAATGCTCAAAAGTACTGACTATGCCCTCATGACGTCTCTACTCCAAAAAACAGAGCACCCTTGATGCCCACAATATCAGGGCTTGGACATTTCTGCCTCTCTGCTGCCCTCTACTGACCCAATAGACTCTTGCCTTGTGACACAAGTCACTGGCTCAGGACTTTTGCTGGTCAGCCTTCCTCTGAGGGATAGAGCCCTGGGAATGGGGAAAAAAAAGGAGGGGGGCCTTATTGAGGTCCCTAGTCTCTTGGCCCTATCTACCTTGTGAGAGATATTAAGAAGACAGTCTTCTGCAACCAGGAAGATGATCCTCAGAGAAACTCAACTTTGTTGGCACCCTGAGACTCAGACTTTAGTCTTCACGATGGTGAAAAATAAATTATATGGTTTATACATGAACATTCCAATCTGTGGTAAAGCATCCTGAATAGAAATACCCAGTTCTGTGTTCAGGGTGGATGTTAGAAACAAAACTTGAAGATGTATACCAAGTGCTGAGATATTAACAAATTTGACTCATAGCTATATGGCTAATGGTTACCACTATATAGATGAGGGCACTGAGTCAGACAAAAGGTACAAGGTCTGCTTAGGGTCACACAACTCTCACGATGGGACAAAACTGTGCTCTGGACAGGTGAAATACCCACACTGCACAATTCTAGGAGCACAGTGGTGTAGGCTATGCACATAGCAGTCTTTTTAGCTAGGACAAACCTAACAGCTGCCATGCTTCACTATTCCTTCAAATTTGAAACAAAATTTCTAAGAAGACTTATCTGAAAGCATCCTCAATGACTTTTTAAAGAAAATATTTTTCTACCCTTCCCAGGACTTGAGCGGAAGAGTTGCCAGGTTCAAAGAGTAGGCAGATGAGCCCTGAGGGAAGGGATGTATACATGTCATTATTCGTGTATATCTCAAGTTTCAGAGGGTCAAGTACCAAAGTCTCAGCCCCATTATCATTACTGCTCTCATTATTGTTATTGTTGCTAGCTTTTAGGTAATAAGTACTTGCTTTTCTAGAATCTCTGAGAAACTGGAACTTTTCCTCCCATTGTTCTCATCTCCATCATGTTCCCACCTTGGTTTGTAAAGGTTGGGAACTGAAACGTAACTCCCATTTCTTTAGTCTAGTGATTTCCTATTGTGGTCTACAATAGCTCAGCTTCTCTAAGCAGTTAATGACAGTTAATTAGTTTCCCATTCTAGATAAGATGCTTTTGTAGGTCTCAGAACACAAACTAGTGGGTGCAAATGAGGCCTTATTCACCATAATTGCCTAAGTCCAGGAGATGATAACTCCCTCTCCTGAGCATCAGGGTGATGCAAAAATTGCACCAATATCCCATGATGTCCTTTACATGTTATGACCAGTTCTGTGGCCTTGAGTGAAACCACTCTCCTGGGAAGCTGGTTTGGGCACCATCAATGTGATGGTGGTGTGGGGGTGGGGGGAAATGACACTGACCACTGAGAAACCAACCATTTCTTGTTGGACACAAATTACACTCGTACCCTAAATTGTTCCTTTGGGAAGATGTTACTCTAGTTATGAGGTAGTGACATGTACCCTTAAGACAAAATAGCATCCAAGACCAAATATTCTGCTCTAATCCCAACTATGATCTTGCCTGTTGTGCAAGGGGTTGGGGAAGGGCAGCCCCTTTCCAGAGGATGCACTGAATGCCTGAGCAGGGTCCTGAGGCTTCATGGAGTTTCGATCGTGAGTAACACCATGCATGTGCACACAAAACATGACTGTTCACCCCTCACTGTCCTCAGGAAGCTGCATAGCAAAGAAGGACCCATTATATATGGCCATCTTTGTTCAGGCTCAGTTATACTGAATCGGAGTGTCTAAAGGAACAATTTGTCACTTAGATTATTTTTTGCAGGTAGGAACCTTTACTGTTCATTTCTTGATTAAGATCAAAAGCCAAAATGAAGAACCGCACACAGACTAAAACCTTACAATGTGAAGTCATCACAAAGCAGGATCAGAAGAGAGAACCAGGGAAGAGAGAACTGATAACTTAATAGTCATTAAAATGTGATTCCTTATTTGATGGAACACTCAAGAAAGACAACAACATTAACAACTATTTCAGAATTATCTGGGATCTGGTTGCCATAGGAAAGGTCAACATGTCAAGACAGAGTTAATTTTCCACAAGGCATATTCACTAAAAATCACATAAGGGCCTCCTCCTCATTTTATGGATTGAAGCTTAAGGAAGATACTTGAGCCCCCCCAAACCCCCCCTGCCAAAATTTGTCTAGTTTAGAGAATATGCTAATTTTCTTCTGGTAATAATTTTAGAAATAGTGGGTTTTCTTTTCCAGGCAATTATTTTAATGAATCAACTGGGGTTTCAAGAAACAATTAAATAAGCTTTGGTCTCAAGTTCAGCAAAATGAGATCATTCATTCTGGATTGGATCAGCTGAGGCCAAGTCTCTTGTCCAAACCAGAACAGCAGGATTGGGGTAGTTTTTTCTTTCTTTTGCATTGTCTTTCCCAAAAATCTTCAGGTCCTTTTCGTGTGTGTGTGTGTGTGTGTGTGTGTGTGTGTGTGTGTGTGTGTGTGTGTGTGTGTGTGTGAACATGCATGTGTGTGTAGAAGCAGAAGTCAATGCTGATCATTCCCTTATTCACTCTCCATCTGATATTTTTAGATATGATCTCTCTCACTGGGACCCAGGGCTTTCTGGTTGTGTTAGGCTGGTTAGTCAGTGAGCCCCAGCAGTCCTCCTATTTCTCTACCCCAGCACTGTATTACAGGTGTCCTGCACCATGCCCAGAGTTTTATGCAAATGCTGGAGTCCTCCTGTTTGTGTGACAAACACTTCATGAAAAAAGCCATTTCTTGAGTCCTGAGTTCAGTTTTTATTGAATGGGAATATATACATATATATATCTACATATATACAAGAGAGAGAGAGAGAGAGAGAGAGATCTCACAACTTTTAAAGTTGTTCTCAGTTCTCCGAGTTCCAGCGAGAACTCATGGAATAGTAATAATTTCTCTTGTTCAGAAAACTTGGCATTGAATAATCAGGAATGTATCCTTTTACATTTTTAAACATTTATTTATTTTTGTGTGTGCTTGCATGTTTTTGTGTGTCCATGTATGTTCCTGTATATGTGCCATGTGGACAGGTGGAGGTCAGAAGTCAACTTGTGAAAGTTGGTTCTATTTCTAGCATGTGGGTACTGGGGCTTGAACTCAGATTGTCAGGCTTAGAAACAATCATCTTTCCCTGCTGAGCCCTCTTGCCAGCCCCAATTGTTTGTTTGTTTTTGCTGGATTTGTTTGTTTTATAAAACAGTTCTCATTACGTTGCTTGGGATAACTTCAAACTTGATATGTCATGGCCTGGGCTGATCTCAAACTCACAATCCCCCTCTCTTAGTCCTCCAAGTGTAAGGATTGTAGGCATGTGCCACCATGCCTGGATTTATGCTTTCCTTGTAACTAAGCTATGTTGCTAGATATTCAGATCACACTGAGAATCTACACAGCAATACAGGTAATCATTGTACAAGTAACACAGCCCCTCCAGATACAAGTGTCCCTCGTAAGCACCATCAGCTCTGTAAAAACATGGTAGGTCCATCAGGAAATATTTCCCAATGAATAGCACAAATGCAAACACATGAGACAGCAGTTCTCAACCTGTGGGTTGTGACCCCTTTGTGGGGGAGTCAAATGACCCTTTCACAGGGGTCCCACATCAGATGTCCTGCATATCAGATATTTACATTACTGTTGATAGCAGTAGCAAAATTACAGTGATGAAGTAACGACAAAAAAACATTTTGTGTCTGGGGTCACCAAAGGATGTGGAGCTGTATTAAAGGATCGCAGTGCTAGGAAGGCTGAGAGCCACACTGTGAGACCAATGAAAGGAAGCACAGAGGAGTAAAGATCATTTCTTTAAAAGTTTACAATTGCAGAGTAACATGGCTGTTGGGAAGAGGTCATGGGCAAAGGCTCGGTGAACCTCTTCCCAGACGAAGAAACTCCCACACGTCTCTTACCTGTGATGGTGGCTTTGTTGATGGATGGTTGATTGCACATGGGTGATCTTCTAACAAAGAGAGAAAACACAAAATAGTAAGTGTGTGGTGCTTTTTGATGTCTGTACCCTGAGTTGTTTAGAACATGCCAGTCTCATCTAAAGAATTATTTTAAAGTTGTGACATGAGCATAAATACTACATTCATATTAGCCTGGAAAGTCCTTAGACACTCATTCAATGTGGCTCAGACTATAGATGGGAAAAGAGGGAATTAATAGAAAAAGTCAGCTTGAATCTTGTGGGTTGGACACTGGGGGAGATAAAACAGACAGGAAGATCATAGGGCTGTGTCTGGAGAGGGCATTCTTATTGGCTGGCATTCATGTATTAAATTAACAAACAGACTTTCTGAATGTGGAAATGTGGTCAATTTATAATAGTTTTCTCTGATGCAGTATTAGAAACTTATTTCTGGCTTATAGTCTCATGATATCTTGCACATCACCAGGAGTGAATGGTTCTTTCTAAACAATCCTGCAAATGGAGAAGGTATGTGAATGTTTTTCTTTTCCAGTTTCTTCATTGAGAAGCATCTCTGGCATGTTTGTTAGAGAGGCATATTAATAGCATGTCTACACAGATGCCTTAGAAAGTTTGTGTCTTATAAACCCATTGTACTTCAAGAGACACCATTTGGTATTCTTCATGTTTCTTCAGATGTTTGCCACTCCCACAAGACAATTATAAACACCTTTAGGAACATGCCTGCTATGCCATTAACCCGTTTTCTCTGTGAAGGTCAACACAATGCATATAGTATTCATTTGGTCAGTGCTAACCAAATTATGTTGAAAAGAAGAATCATTTATGAGACATCCATTAAACAATTTGGAAATAAGAGCCCGGATAGCTCAGTCAGTAGAGCATCAAACAATTTGGAAGTAAAACTTTTCAGTTATTCCATATAACTGGCAGTCTTCAAAGGACAGCAGCATTTAAAAATTCTTCAAGAAACAGACATGGTGCAAGATGTCTGCAAAAACATCTAAGGCCTTTTTCATGTTGTGCATGTGTGTGCAACCATTGGCTTTTTCCAGTGGTTAACACTCACTAAGCCCCGCACTGTGTACTTGAAGTGAGTTTTCTCACTTAATCCTTATGACAAGCCTCAAGGCTGGTGAGCTGATTGTGTGTAGCTTGCTGGTGAAGAAAGCAGTGAGGTTTTATACTTTGAAAGTTTCAGAGTATCCAAGCTGAGATTTGAACTAGAGGACTGGCACACTAATGCCATACTCTGCTCTGCTGTCTTATATTACGTGTGTGTGTGTGTGTGTGTGTGTGTGTGTGTGTGTGTGTGTGTGTGTGTGTGTGTGTGTGTGTGAGAGAGACACAGCACACACAGAGAGATCTGGACAGTCACACATATGTGCAGATTGTGGCTAATTCTTGACAGCTACCTTACTGATAGGCCACATCTCTAACCTGAGCTTCAGGACACTTAGGAAACCAGCCTTTACATTTATGTAGGCTTTCACTGGCTCCACTCAATTGCACCACTGTTCTTATGTTTATTGGTGCATGTTCTGTATTCAAATTTTGTATATGACTGAAAACGTACAGAGATTTACACCTGTATTATTTTATAGTTTTATTATAAAATAAAACGTGCCAATGTGAACCTGATAAATGCTTCATAAAACAAGAATTTGATGTTTTAGACAGCTGCTCTGTCTAAACAGCCGAAGCATGGTTCTGTTCTTGCTGAAAGTTTATTGTACATGTGTGACAGCATGTGCAGGGTTACATTGTTAGAGACTAGAATTCATTCAAGTAAGTTATATATTGATAAGGATTTTCACTCACTCCTTGCTCAGGAAAACTTTAGAAAGTATTCCCTTGGCATAGGAAAAACAAATGAAGATGTCATGCTTTTCTATAGTTTTAGAAAGTGAAATCATTGCCTTGTTACTATTTATCTTTTCCTAGGATCAGTTTTGTGGCTTACATGTGGGAACACGCCACCTCAAAGAGTAAGAACAACCCATAAATATGGATCACTAAATACATATAGACATTGGTATATCATTTGATGAAGAATGAGTCAAACTTCACTTCTGGGATATATATGGCAAGAGAGAGAAGTGGTAGAAATTAACAGTGGGTTTAAAAATGTCAGTGATGACCTCAGGTCACCCATCTGGGGTCAAGCCTAGGGCACATTCTCCCTCAAAGCCTTTCCTAGAGAAAAAAGGCACATCCCCTCCTCTAAGTGTTTTGATGAACTTGGAAATGTTCCAGAGCCCTCTAGAGCAGCTGTTCTCAACCAATGGGTCATCAACTTTTTTGCAAACCCCCATCTCTAAAAATATTTACATTATGATTCCTAACAGTAGCAAAATCACAGTTATGAAGTAATAACAAAAATAATTTTATGGTTGGGGGTCACCACAACATGAGAAACTATATTAAAGGGTCACAGCACTAGGAAGGTTGAGAACCACTGCTCTCAAGTCATTTTACAATGTGCTTTCTGGCTGTCCCTGAACAGAACCAGTTGTCAGGGGTTGATTCCTGAAGTATGATGGCCCAGGAATCTGATTTAACTTTAACCAGTAGATGAGGTACACATCTGTACTGTCTAAATGTGCTGGCTCTTTTTGTAGTCTGCTGTATAACTGTTTGCTTTGGTAGCCGCCAATCAACATTGGTATTGTACCGTCAGTCGAGCTAGATGGACATTCCAGGGTTAGCTATGACTTCCTGACTTTCCTCTTTCCATTTCAATCAGCTCTGTCCCTGAAAATCTGCTTGGTATAGAATGGGCATCTCTTCAGAGACACGAGGGTCAGTATGATGCCCTCACACCTGTCACACCTCACACCTGTCAGACCAACTGTTATGAGTTCAAATGCTGCTTACCGAGGCAACAGTATCTGAAGGAGACTTGAAGTTTGTTTCTTATTTGCCTTTTAAAGATAAAGGGCTACATTTCTTAGTGGAAATTTGCAAGGGAATAACTTGATTTTCCCTGCTGAACTGAGACTTTACAAAAGTGAGGCAACTGTTCCTATACAGTGCCTAAAAGTGAAAAGCCCAAGATGCTTGATGAGGTCAGCATGATATGGTACGGCCATGCTGCACAAAAAGTGCCACTGGCCAGAAATGGATTCCTCCAAGCAGACGCCTGACTGCAAATGATTTACTACCCCTTGACTATTAGCAGCACCTGCAGGGTGGTGGCACTGTGTTAGGATGGGAGCTGGGGTTACCGATGTGAACAAACTACAACCTGTGGTTAATTTCCAAAGTAAGTAGGACCCGTGATAGTGCTATGAGTGTTAACAGCAGAGGCCCTACACTTCCAGGTGCCTTCTGACAAGATGGGATCAGTGCATTCACTCGTCAAACACCAGAGTAATTCTAGAAAATGAAGTAGGTATTGTATGAGACAGAGCACATGGCTGGACAACAGCCGTGGTTCACAGATGTCTAATGTATTGTCTTGAGTTCAGTTCAAGCTGGGAAGACACTAACGGTTCAGGCAGAAGGGGAGGGAGAGAATGAAGCTTACTTGCTGGGTGCCCGATCTTGCAAATTAGTTAATGCAGCAAAGTTGTTTCGCACGGTTCGCAGGCTGGCCAAGACCTATGGCAAAAAGAGAATTCTTTAGGGTTCCTGAACTGGGGCCAGTTAGAATGCAGCTAAACATGTTTTTTAATGAAGACATTTTTATATTGCTTGCAACTCAGTTTCATATACCATTACAGAATCTTTCAGAACTTAGGAAAAATTTCAATCCTGTTATATGAAACCCAGGGAGGTTAGATTCCCAGATTTTTATAGAAACCCCTCTCACTAGCTTTGCTTTTCTTAACAGTAGCAGCAGTAGCCACACATCCTTTAGTTGTCTATACAATGTCCCCAGAAATTGCAATTACGGCATACTATAATATAAAACACTATGAAAGTCTCAATTTAGTGATTAAAACATAAATTAGTCCTGAATTCTCTTAGAAAATTCTTCAAGATTCCTATGATCTCAGATCATCAGGCTAAGTAAATCTTCAGTTGTTTTCCCATCTTTGCACAGGTCTATACTAGCTAGTTAGTCCACAGATACTCTTTGCCTTTGGAGCGACTGTGTACATTGTGGAACATAAGAAGTCCCCAGAGAGACAGAGAGACAGACGTTGATCACAGAAAACACCAGTGCTCTATACAAAGGGTACTTTTCCATACACTTCCTAGAACAAAGAAAGTGCTCAGTAAGATTGCTTTGAAGAAATGAATACACTGTATCTGCATGTATGTGAATATACCAGGAAGTAGATGGCCCCACCTCTGCTAGCTTCTTTATCCTAACTCCTGCTAGAAACAGATGTCTAAGGGATGGAAGTGCATCCCAGAGAGAAGTTACCAGAGCCTGATGACCCCCATTTTCTCCTACAACAGGCTACTTTCCTCAGGGGCAGAATCTTTAGTAAGATTAAGGGTGCCAATAAGACTTCGGTGCTTATCAGAGCTCTGAGTTTGTAAAAACCACACAATTCCCATACCCTGGTACATGTCATGTATTGAATCACATACTTGGACAAGCTATGACACCTCCTGTACCCCAATTTTCTGTGAGTTAAGCAGAGATAGTTGTTTGATAGGGTTGTTGAGAAGGTTAAAGGAAACTACAGGTTAGTGCCAAGAATATTGTCTAAGCAAAAAGTATATGGTGACTGTGTGTCCATTGTGGAAACTTCCAGTTAATTATCTGGCACACAGAAGTTAGCATAATGCTTATCAGTGGCAATACATGGAACTTTCAGATTTTTTATTGACCTAGGGTTTCAAGAACTGTGCCTGGAGTCTCTTCATGGGACAGTGATCCAGAGGAAAGCCACTCTGTGTCTCAGGCATTTGTTTTTGGAAGTTGACTGGAACTTGTGCAAGTCAAAGGGAGCTGTTTATGCTCTGTAGCAGTGACCTTCAGCGGTCCCCCTGAAGGAGTTCATGGTGCCTCCTAGGAAGTCAGCCAGTCACTGGAAAACCTGGCTCATTATCACACACAGCTCGGAAAGGTCACACTGCCTGTGACAGAGTATCCAAATAGCTAGCTGCTGACGTCAGACCACAGTGACTTTCATGAGGCATGAAATTCTGAATGATGCAGAAGTAAATGGATTAATGATCTAGTCGTGAAATCACGCTGGCTTAATTTGTGTTTTAAGATGTGAATATCAAACATGTCGCCAAAGCATTGGGATAAAATCATTGCATCAGCTAAGGACTCCCTTTTCTAGACCAAGATTTTAACCTCAGTATTTTAAGATTTTTTTTCTCAAATGCACTTAAGTTCAGTGCATTTGGCCACTGGGTAATATAAGCAGGAACTGAGTATTTCATTTCTGTAGGAAATGTTTTGCAGGTAATTCATAGTTTTTTGATCATTTGAACAAAAACAAAGCATTAGCCCATTAAGTAAGACATTTGTTCATGAACAAAATATCTTCACTGTATAGCCCTGGGTGGCCTAAAATTCAATATACAAGACCACACTGGCCTCCAATTCAGGGATCTGCCTGCTCCACTCCTGGCTTGCTGGAGTAAAAGGTACCTGCTGTCACACCTGGCCTATAGAAAGTATTTAAACTTTTGTTATTCTTGTAATATATTAAACTGAATTATTTGCTTGGTTTTTATCATGTAAGTTTTATATATTTATTTTAAATAATTCCTATCTTTGGATGTTGAAGAATTTAACCAGAAAAAAAAGACAAAGCTTGCTTTATATGTTTTATATTTGAATGTTAAAAGTATCTCCCACTCTGTAACCTATATGGTGGTGGCAGAAATGTAAGTAGAAGTTTTCCATATGAGTCTACCATATATGATGATGCCCTGGGTCTGGGTGATTGACTCTAGCATTCTTCATACAAATATCATGAAGTTTTTCTCAAACACTCTCCTCTCTGGACATAAGGAAGCAAGCCTTGCCAGACAATGAGGAAAAGAGGATCTGGGCTCACAAGGACCCTGGGGTGAGGGTTTAAGTTCATGGATTCTCTTCCATTCCAGGGCAGCTCTCTGCCATATATTCAGCCCCAGCATCAGAAGCTGAAATTCACACTCTGCAAGGCCTAAGATGTTCTTCTCTCTTTAACTCTTATTATCAAAGAGTCCCCACAGTTTATTCTAGATGGCTTAGCCTTAGGAAATTAAAATCATTCCTTCCTCCTTTTCCACTCCCAGTAAACATAGAATTGTTTAAGGAAAACAAACAAGCAAGCAAAAACCTAGCCAAACAAACATGGGAATGTTGAAAAAATATAAATCTTACAATGAATAGTGATAACATTACAGGAAAAAAATGGCCATTGGCCATGGAATGAGAATATTCACACACACAATTCTCAGGGTCTTTTAGGTTCTTTCAAGCAATTCTTAGCCAATAGGATTCACTGAAGTTGGCAGAAAAATGCTGGTTTCATTAAACAGCTTAAGTGAACAAATGGAAATTTTTTCTGGATCATTTTTCCAGTCCATACATAGCTTATGCCATTGGGTGGCAGTAGAACACAGACTGTGAGCTACAGGGCAGGGAGGAGGTCCTGTGTCCTTGTGAGGTCAAACACACTTCCTTACTTAGGCTTCACCTGGGGGGTGGAATTAGTGGGTATTTATTTACGGATAAAAAAGCTACTCTGGTTGAAAAATCAAACCTCTCTCCAAGTTATACTTTTATTAAAACACATGAAGTGATTGTTTCTGTTATGTCAGAAATGCCTTGTAAGAACAGAGCTATCTAGAAGGATGTAATTCATGCTTATATTGTTTGGTTGGTTGGTTTTGAAGTAAAAGTTGAACATAAAGCAACTGAAATGAGACAATGATCTTCTCCCTTTGCCCAGCAGAGGTCCCTGTGTATTCAGTGAATTTGGCTACAAGATCACTGCCACTAGGTGCAATGGGAAGAGACATACAGCTTAAAATATATTGGTGATGACCTATTACTAATGGAACAATAATTCTCAATCGTGTTAACAACTACTGTATCTTTTTTTTCCCTCTGAAACTATCTAGGTGTTGTAGTTTGTTTGACATAAACAAAATGATGCAATTGTTCCTACCCCATGTGTTGGGTTGTTTTCAGAGCAGGCGTGTCCCCTGCATATGAAGGACATAAGGATGTTGTTTCCAGAGAGGGACCCAGGTTTTGGAGTCACAAAGAAGAGGGGAAGCAGCAGCTGACTACAGAGGCAGCTTCCAGCTTCCAGGACAGCTTTAATTCTTGTGTTCATCAGCCCTAAGGACTCTGGCTAAATTGTTATTATGCTCAAAGGGAAGAAAAGAGTGGGGGGCGTGAGGAGCAGTCCAGTGGTCTGCCTCTGGACACTAGACTTCATGACTGAGGAAATAAACCAAATGACTTGAGCATTGAAAAGATTCATTCTAAAATAAAATACACAAATTAATTAAGGCTAGCATTGTTTCCTGTGTGTCAGAGAGCCTCAGAGCTTATGTGAGAAAGTTCAAAAACTTTAGCATATAAGAGTTCAGATGCTAGTCAATACCTAAATCTTGTTATGATTTGGATATTAGAATAAAACATGGAAAGACTCTTAGACTTCTTTCGAATAATTAGATCTACCCAAGAAGTTTGAAGTCCCTTGTTGCTCAACAAAACAACTGGTCCTCAACCATCTATATACATTCCCAAACACTTTAGGTCATTTTAACATCTCATATCTATGCCATGGAGTTGAAACATTTTTGTCTCTTATGCACGAACACAAATGTGTCACTCAGCTAAATATTTTTACAAATAACATGTAAAAAAGGAAGTAAATAAAGTATCGGGTTGAATGGGACTATTGAATTTCAAACACAGATCATAAACTAATTATACTAGATGTAATTTAATCCACGATACATACAGTCTTCTCCTTCAGGTGCTAATTCCAGTTAGGGAAATAGGGGCTTGCTGAGTACTATCTCCCTTAGGTAACTTGTTATCTGAAGAAGCGACACTGTTTGGGTCTAACAGCCTTACCCAAAGCATATCTGTGGGCCTAAGGTTACATTCTTCATCATTGCCCTTTAATTATTTGAATGAGCCAAACAATTTGCATCTTCATACTCCTGTGTGGTAAAGTCACATTAAGGGTCAGAATAAAATCCTCACATCAAATGTGTAAATCTGTGTGAAGCCTTCACACTCCAAGCTGTGCTTACCTGAGCAAATGGAGTCACAATCAAGTCATCTCCATGTCTGAAAAACAAACCAAATCCAGTGTTAGATGTCTCCAACAATGCTCTGTCCACTTTTGATCAATTTTAAATGGTGTGTTCTATTGGAAGAAAATCCCACTGGGAATTACAGTAATTCCATCTTTCTCTTCAGTACATGTCCTTCCCAGCCAGTGGGTTGAAGACATGTCTTCTGGATGTTAACCATTGTCCATCTCTCTTGGTCTAAAGAGGGGATCCTTTATTACCAACCAATGTCAGTGTTGCTTTTTAGGCACAAAGTAGTGCAGTAAGTAGAGAAGGGCCCTGAGCTCTGGGCCTACACTTTACTCTTGACTTCTCATTGCAGAAGTTATCCAGGGAGGAATGCCTGCAAAGAACCAGCTACAGCAGTGGCTTCTGTGAGAGTACCCTGGGCCATCTAACATTTGTAGGTGATTAGCATCAAGTGATCTGTATTTGGTCATGTGTAAGCCTTGGATAGGCCAGGAGCTGAACATGACATAGGACTGCATCATGCACTAATAAAAACCCCCGGAAACTTTTTCAACCGACTTGTGTTCCAGCGCCTGTACTTACAGGGGAATATTACCCTGTGAGTGCTGTTGCTACAGTAATGTCAGCTCCAGTAGATGGGGGGATATAAGAGCAAGGTGCCCTTGTGACATGTCTTGGAGAAGCAGGAAAATGCACAAAGCCATGCGACATTCTTCTTGAAACAAGTGAGAAACTGGGACCTGGGACTCTGCAGTATTTTCTCAGCATGAATAAGTTGACGAAAGGATGTCCCAGATCATAATAGGCCATTTCTTAATCTAGCCAGTTACAAGCTGTTTTATTTAATCATTTCTTTTTACTTATCTTGAAAGATAGAGGCTTGCTTGGTATATAAGGCTGATCTTAAATTTTTGATGCTCCCACCCTGTGAGTGCTGGGATTTCTGGTGTTAACTGCCACTTGCCACTTCAGAAAGGATTTTTCTTCTTTTAGAAAAGATTTTTGAATTAAGTGAATATAGTTATTTTACACATCTATTTCCTTGACATAATCCTTACTGAGGGCTGTTCACTTGAATTATCAATTTGTTCCCAAACATCTGAAAGGGACCCAAGTCCTCAAACCAATACCTATGAGTCATGCAGTACAAGGAGCTCAGGGATGCTACCAATAATGGGTTAATGATGATAAGACCACCATGGAGGAAAACAGACTTCTATCTAGGGAATACTAGAGAAGGGAACAAATGCAGAAACATCTGGGACAGATAGAGTAAGCCACTGCAATCACTGTGGAAGTTAATGGTCACGCTGGTCTTTAGTCTTGTGATGTGGAAAGAGGTGCTCTATGCCTGCTCACCTACACTGGTCTCCCTGAGCTAAGTGAAAGCCTGTGGCCACAAGAAATCCCACTTCTCCCCTCTTCCAAGAGAAGGACATGCTGGCTACAGGAGACCTGGAGGACAGGCTCAATGGCATGTGTTGACAATAGAAATGGCAGTCCTTCCATTCTCCATGCCTTGGCCATCTTTCCTTGTCTGTGCTCCTTGCTACACTATTTTCCAGTCTCATTTCTGAACTAAAAAGCCAGAAACACAGACAGGAAACCATGAGATGCAAAAGCAAACTTTCTTATATACAGCACTTCAATAGGAGATGGGCACTGCCATCTAGAAGACTAAGTTCCTTCTTTAACTGTTTCCAGACTGTGGGGATTTAGAGATATTGCCTCTTGTCAGTTTCAGTGCTGGAGGCCTTTATTGTGGTTTCTTTTCCTGTTATTTCCCTTCCTTCCTCCTTTCCTTCCTCCTTTCCTTCCTTCCTTCCTTCCTTCCTTCCTTCCTTCCTTCCTTCCTTCCTTCCTCCCTTCCTTCCTTCCACAGCCTGACTGCAGTTTCCCCCTCCCTTCTCTCTTTCTTTCTCCTCCTTTTTAAAACTTAGACAAATTCTTATCATGTAACTCTGGCTGGGATGGAACTTGCTTTGTAGATCAGGCTAGCCTTGAACTCACAGAGATCCGCCTGCCTCTGCCTACTGGATGCTGGGATAAAAGCCATGCCCCACCAAGCCTAGCTACCTGTTATTTCTTAAAGTAAGATTTTCAATCTGGACCCGATGGTACAGGTCCACAATCCCTGCTACTCATGGAGCTGAGGCAGAAGTAACAAACATGCAGTGCCTGGTTGCACTACAGGATGAGTAGAAGAACAGCCTGGGCAACTTTGCAAGATACTGTCTCAAAAATAAAAATATATTTAAAGGTATAATAAATAGCCCAATAGTTCACTGGGAGCATGCTTACCTGTGCTCTTTGCTAGTAGCAAGTACACACACACACACACACACACACACACACACACACACACACACAAACACACACAGAAAGACGGAAAGACACATGCACATACACACACAGAGAGAAGCAGACACACACATGCACAAACACACACACATGCACAAACACACACACACATGCATGCATGCAAGAATGCACACGCAAACACTGACAGACAGACATACAATGAAAGAATATTTACTTTTGGATCTGGACAATAGATATCTAACATTCTTATAAACAGGGCACAAGAATTCTGAGGAAGGCATATGATAGATACTTAGATACTGATATCTGGAAGTTAACATGTATGTTATACATATTATATAGCATATGTGTATATTATATGTGTAAAGAGAATTCTCAGGCTCTAGTTTTCTTGTTATAAACATTTATTTTTACACTAAGTTTCAAAAAAGTCAAAAACTGTCCTGGGGAGGGGCAAAATCCCACCAATTACCTATACCCAGGAATTCAGAAAAGTGGCCTGTTTTTCCTATTCTTCTCCACAGGGAAATTTGTATCAGACATCAGCCCTGTAAATATTACATATGACTTCATATAATCAGAAAATACCAACTAGGGGCTGTGGATGCAGCTTAGTGATAGAGCAGTTATTTAGCACGAGTAAGGAGGACCTGGGTTTCACCCTTGGCATCCCACCACCCAGATATCTCTAAATCCATATATTTTTATCATCTAGCTTCAGAAAATGTCATGACCTTAGAAGGCACTTGGTATTCTAATACATAAAATACCTCCTCACTTCTAGTTAACATTTTAATAATTAATAAATAACTCCATCACAAGAAGTCAAATAACCACATTATAAAGAATCACAGGCACTCTCAAGGAAAAATGTACCAATGATTGACAGGTGCTTAAAAGCACTCAGCACTGGAAAAATGCAAATTTAAACCAATATATAAACTCTCACTTCTTAGAGGTTAATTTTATTTTAAAAGGCAAAAGTTGCCAGGCAGTGGTAGCACATGCCTTTAACCCCTGCACTTTGGAGGCAGAAGCAGATGGATCTCTGTGAGTTCGAAGCCAGCCTGGTCTAGAAAGCAAGTTACAGGACAGCCAGGGCTACATAGACAAACCCTATCTTGAAAAAACAAACAAACAAACAAAAGGCAAAAGATCACATGCCTTCTTCATGTCAACAGCAGTACACGGGCTCATAAAAAAAGGTCAAAGATATTTCAAGAAACGATCAAAAGTGACAACCAACAGCACCAAGGTGTAAGGAACTTCATGGACTGTCACTAGGACTGTAAGTGGTTCCAGTTACAGAAGAAGTTTATGAAATTCATCCAAAGTTGAAAATATTGCTCCTAGAAGATCCATAATTCATTTTTGGGTATACAGCCAAAGAAAATGGCAGCAGCATGTCACTGAGGTCTCTGCATTCCCAGTTGACTGCAGAAGTAGCTGCAGTAGTCAGGAGTGGCACAGGCTCATCTTAAATGTTCATCTATAGACTGGAAGATAAATAAAATGTGGTATACTTACCACCCAGAATATTATTCAGAATTTAAAAATAAAAGCATTTGTTACAGAATGCATGAAGCTGAGGCACACTATGTTTAGTGTAATAAGGTGGACAAATGCCTCGTGATATCATATGTTGTGAAGACTCTAAAATCAAAACACTGAGCTTAGAGAAGGAGAGTGAAGCATTGGTTACTAGGACTGGAAAGTGAGGTGGGGTTAAAAAGCCTTATGAGGAATAAACTCATGAGATTTATAGCACAAATTATTGGCTACAATGAACAATAACGCACAGTACACTTGAAAATGATAAGTGATTTCCTCATCACAGAAGCAATGATACATTAATTAGCTCTATCTACACAATTTAGACTATTAAAACTTTTACTGTACATCTCAAATGCAGACCATGTCTTATGTGTAGGCTAAAAAATACATTTTAGAAAAGAGTTAAGAGCTGGCTTGATCTTTGAATGAACAAAACCAAACCAAACTAAACCTTAGCACCAAGTGTAGTGGCCCATGCCTATAATCCTAGCACTTGGGAAGTAGAGACAGGAGGATCCAGAGTTCAGTGTTATAGTTTACTATATAGTATTCAGGGCCACCTGGGTGGCAAGAGTCTCAGTGTCAGAAACAATAAATAAAGCTAGAGAGATGGATCAGCCAGAAAATCATTTGCCTCACAAGACTGAGGGCTGAATTTTTGATCCATGGACTCCCGATTTTAAAAAAAAAAAAAAAAAAAAAAAAAAAAAAAAAAAAAAAAAAACAGGCATGGTGGTGCATTCTTGTAATCACAGCATTGGGCAAAATGGATGGATTCCCCAGAGCTCACTGAGCAGCCTGCCTACTGTGTCTGGTGAGCTCCAGACTGCTGAAGAGCCATGTCTTGAAACAACATGTGGATGATGGCTAAGGAGCAACACTTCCAACTGTCCTCGAGCCTCCACATGTGTGTCCCTCATATACAAAAACATTTACCTGAACACACATTTGCCCACAGGTGCACACTTGCACAAGCACACCCTCAAAAATAAGTAAGCATATACCATAAACTTTAAAACACAAATCCTTAGTTTTTGGCTCACATGTGCTCAGATCCTCATTTAGAACATGCATTGATGATAAAGCACAAAGTGAGAATTTACTCTACAGCATGAACAAACATTCTGTGGCCTGACACTGAATGCATAT